GGGGCAGGGTTCTCGGGGCGTTTCGGAGGCGTTGGCGACGCAACTATAAAATTTCAAACCTGCAACTGCATTTAACTGCAATGGAAACTTTGTAAGCAGCCAATTCCATGCTCATGCCTCATTCCATTCATTACTGCCACAAAATTTGGCTGATTTGATTTACGGCCGGCTGTTGATGAAGCCAAAGTTTTGGCGATTCGATTCAGAGCCGATAATTGGGAAACGCCTGGCTAGAACAGAACCAAGAGAGACTTTCACCCGCATCCGTTGGTGGTTTCTTCTCTCAGAAAATTGTTTACATTTTAACTGCCATTTGTCTGGCTACTGTCTGCCGAAACTTTTTTGCCCATAAAAGACTTGCCTTCCACTGAATTGTGGAAAATTAAACGAAGAGACGCCTTCAATGGCGTATCTTGTAGTTTTCACTTTCAAGCCAGGCAAACAAGGCGGAAAATGGGATAAAGTTTATTTAGCCGTTCTGAAGAGGCGGGAAACGGAAGTGAGCAGAAAAAGAGAAACTAATAAAACAGGAAACAGAAATCCGTGCGAATAATGGAGGTTCAAGTCGGGCTTACATTTGAATTTGACACACTCCCCAAAGGGCCCCTAAAAAGTTGCCAGACGTACAACACCCCCCTGCTTCAGCCACTTCGGGCTGGAAAACTATGTCAGAACTCATTTAGTTCCCGAGGAAATGTTTGGCACAACATCTAAAAGTGTTTCCGGTGCCGGAGTGGGAGTAGCTGGGAGGCATGTGGCGAGTGGCGAGTGGGAGGGAGCTGAGTGATGGCCGATGTCTGTCAGTTACTTGTGGTCGGTGAAAAGGTGTGCGACCCTTGGTCCCAACTAATCCTATTACTTACATAAATTCCATTAAACGAAGAGACCCGTACGAGGAGGCGGAGGAGTAGCGGAAAGAAGCAGCTTTGCAGAGCAGCCGGGGTGGGTTCCAGCAGTTGGTGCGTTGAGCGGCTTTTCCCGGGTGCGTACGGATTTTCACACTTTACGCATGGCTTGATCGACGGGCGGGAGGGACGGCGCCCTGGGGGGGGGGCTAGAATTACGCACAAGCTTACTTCTTACACCTGCTGCACCGTGCTATAATTCATGCGGCTTTTAAGCTGTTGCCCATTCGCTTTCCCGCTAGATCTCAACATATTTCTCTAAATTGCATTTTTGCAGTCATTTAAGGTAATTGCATTAGACTCGTTTGACATGCTGCATTAGTTCGTCGGAGGGAGAGCTTGGCAGACTGAATGACTGGTAGACTGACAGAGAGAGAAGCCTTTCCATATATTGTACACACATATGTACATATAGGCAATCATCGAAAGTTCTGTCCTTATCGCCATTAACTTCCCTTATCAGGCAAGCCGGCATATAAATAGGTTTGTTTTGAAGCGAAAGCAATGGAAACAGAAAAACGTCAATGCTTGATTATTATCAATAATCGGATGAATGCGAGCATCTCAGAGGCTATTCCCCATTAGTCCTCCCAGTGCACATTCGATTTCACCTGTCTTGGCGTTTACAGTCTCTTTATTTCCCTTCCTTTCGTTTCGATTCGATTCGGAGGGAGAAACGGAATCAAATTGATAGGTGAGTGAACCAAAAGGCTACCGCCAGCACACCTACGCAGAGGAAGATACAAACACATGGTATCTGCAAGGCACAACTGCTGTTTGCATGGGTAAACAACACACAGGAACCACGAGGAGACGAAAATGAGCAGGAATCTTGGCAACTATGCGATTAAATGCTAAATTTAAACTGCAAAATGCACAACAGATGCACAAACAAAAATAAGGGGGAGGGGAAGAGGGAGCCTGAGCTAGCGAATTACAGTAAATGTTCGATACAGCGAACCAATAATAACCTCGGGCAAGACACTAAAAAATAGTAAAATCTGTTTTATTGTTTTCGATTGATATGCTAGTAGGAATATTTTTCAGGAGGGTGCAGTTGAAAGCATACCCTTTAACCGCAATATAAGATGTAAAGCAAAAATATAAACAACATATGTTTTTTCGTGCATGCCAACTGAGTTTATTATTTTTAGTGAATCAATCAATGAACTATTTCCTATAGTTATAGGTTGGATCGAATTGCAAGCTGCAACGGTGCACGAATTTCGGCATCCCGAAGATGCCTTTATTTGTTAGTCTTTATATAATAAATATAAATAAATAAATCAATTAAATAATCAATAACATTTTAAGTGTAATGCAGCAACTTTCGGGATAAGCAGAAAGCACATGGCTAGATCGGCTCGGCTGTTGATGTTGGAATAAAACATAATATTAAAAACTCCTACTACCTTTTCTTCTGGTACCTTTTGATCGGTTGCTCTTACCATGGGACAATCGTAGGTGGATTTAATTTTTCTTGTATATGTATAGTATAGTACACAATATATTTAGTTGTCTTGCGCAGACTCTCGGAGATCATCGTCTACTGTGATTCTGCTCTATATGCTCAAAATTTCGGTTATTCTTGGTAAATTTAATCATTTAAATGTACTTGCACTTGCATTCTCTTCAAAGCGACATTTTGATTTATTTTATTTCGAGCAGCATAAAAAATACCTTGTAAGTTTTCGTGTTTTGCCCATTCTGCAGCGTTGCAGAAACCCCAGAGGGCAGCAAGAACCCAAAGAAAGTAAACAACTAGCAAAAACGGCACAAAAGACACGATGTCAGCAGTGAATATGTACATGAATATAGTTCACTTGCACTCGTGGATAAGGCGTACAGAGGGGATCCGTTCCCCTTGGTTTTGGTCTTTTGTTTATAGAGAAATAAAAAAGCTCTGTTTATTTATACAATAATGCATACACATCATACAATAATTTATCTGTTATTTGTAAATGCTTCACTTTCCGCTTGCTCTCGTGGTGAACCGCACCTGTCGACCCTTTTCTTGTCGGTAACCTAATTGAGAATAAAGCCAGAAATTAAAGAAATGAATTTAAAAAACGTAGTCCTTTTACTAAAGTTAACAATATTTTTGCGAAACACGATTATACATACCTATGGTTTGGTTGCAAAGTACATTATGTTTTTGGGTATTTCATGGTAGGTCTGAAGATCAATTTGATTATGAGATTAAAGTCAAATTCATACGCCACCAGAATCGCGAATAAACTTACATCAACTTTAGTTTTGTAATAAAAGTCAGATATTATAAGTCAGTAAAGAGTAGTATGTTAAACAATGTGAGAAAACGTAGTCTTACTCTCATAGGATCAGAAAACACTTTATCGGTTTCCTAACCACTCTACAGCCGTTAGCAATACCGTTAAAAAAATGTAAGCCCTCCTGGGAATCCTGACTTGATCGCCAACTTAAAACTTATTCAATTGTATAATACCGTGACATTTCCGTATACAGCAGCATTTCTATAATAGCCACTAAAAACAAGAAGATAATTTGATCAGAATAACGGTTTTAAAGATAGACTCTTTGGAAAATTTCAATCCCTTCCTTGAAACTATACATAAAATAAAAGAAAACAAGAAGGAAGCACGCCGAAGTTTATATACCCTTACAAAGAGAACTTTGATGACTAAGAATAAATACAATATAAATTACATATATTTATGTTCAAAAACAATGAAGTAATACCTGCTTTCATTCCATTCACCTATACTTATTATATTTGCAGTTTTAAATTCACGGTTTGGCATTTTCCTCAATATCTATCGGTCGTTTGTATGGCACCTATATGATATAATCGTCCGATTTTCATAAAATTTGACTTAAAACTGTAGAATAAAATAAAATAGCTATGTTTAAATTTAATGAAAATCTGTTGAAAACTGAAAAAGTTATAACGAATCTACTATTTAATATCATTAAAGTATTTATATATTTTGAAATTAATTATCTATTTTTATTGAATTAAATAAAAATTAAATAAATAACAATTCTGACGATTACATCGTATACCTAACATGGGAACGATCAGTTAAAGTATACAAGGGTACACAAACTTCGGCTTCGAGCAGTTTACTTTTATTCATGTGGTACTTTTTTTTTAAACCGACCAAGACCTTTGTACCGGGTATTTCACATTCGGACACACGGGGATGTACATAACTTTATTAGTCGTTTGTAAATAAAAGAAACATTGAATGGCTAAAACTGGAGCTAAAGTCAACCGATTTGTTAGAGTATTTATAATTTCAGTCTGACGTTTTTAACATTTTATAAAGACGTATTCGACCAAAAAGCCTCCTTATTATGTCTGTACCTACGTACTGCATTCATGTGTACATATGTACATACATTTTCCTTTGACCCAACATTATAAAAAACCCGATGGATGTTAAAAAAAAAAAACAGAAACATTTTTAATGGAATGAAAATATTGTTTTTGATTGAGAGTTGAAAAATCATGTTTTTATGCAGTTCCTTCTGCTGAATTTCCGCAAGGTAACACTTTTGTAAATATTGGGCAAAAACGAAAACTTTGAGTAGATTATACACAAAATAAATCGAGTCGTCGAAGAACGGTGGCTGTGGGGCAGGGCAGCGGTGTCGCCACGCTCCCCAGCTGTAGCACGGCTGAGACGCCGACTGCGACTGCGACGGCGGCGTCTCTGCTCCAACATTAGAAAACCCACAACAGAGCGCGAGCGGGAGCTTTGCGAGAGACTACACTAACACCTAGACGATTGTGTAAGACGCTCACGCACACGCTCGCTGGCCGGCAAAAAGGGGAAAAAATTCGCAAATGTTTTGACTAAAATAGCTTAGAGAGGCTCTCTCCGCCGCTCTGCGTGTGGAGACCACTCTCTCTCTTGGATGCCGCCTTCGAAGCTAAATATTGGCGCGCTTTGCTCTCTCACACACATGCACTGGCGCTGGTATGTGTGCACAGAGCAGGGACAAAAAGAGAAAGAGAAAGAGGCGAAGGCAAGACACAGATACTGAAACAGACGACGGAGGCATCGCTGAGAGGCAAGTCGAATTAAGTTGGGTTGAGTCTCGTTTCGGATTCGGACTCGAATTCGCGTTTGCGTTCGCGTTCGTTCGGTTTGTTATTTTTTGGCATTTTGTTCGATTTTTCGTGCCGACGTCGACGACATCTAATAAAAAAGCTGTACACAGCCGTACGTACACGGGCGAGAGCGCTCCCATCGAGAACTTGTGAGGCAGCAATCGAAAATAACTAAAAATGTAGTCGGCCATCGAAACAAGCCGAAATAAAACGCAAAAGTGCACCGAAAACAATCGCGGAGCAGGAAAGTGTGGAATCAGCAGTCGCTAGTTTGCTAATTTGCCCCCTTGCATGTGTGCCCCTCGACGAGGCGTATACGCAACGTTGTCCCAGCAAGAAGAAGAGGCTGGAGCAGCAGTCAGAGAACAACTAACCGAAGAAGCGCCAAATTAACAGTTTAAACTATCCTTTTGGCAGCGGAAACTGCCTTGTGATCGTCTGCTTTTTTGCAACATTGCAACTTGCAACATTGCAACTGCAGTCCAGCAGTGTGTCTCTGTGTGTATCTGCCGAGGCACTGCACTGGCGGAGCCACATACATACGTAAACCAAACATACAAACATATCTATGCATTCGCCAGCCACGAATTTCGGTTAGTTTCGGGGGTGTCTGTGTGAGCACGTGCGTCGGTGTGAGCAGAAAGCTGCGCCTGTGTTCGCGGGCCGCTGCAATTGCAGTTTTGCCCCTAGTATCTCCAGCTCGCGTCCCCGCCCTCGCGTCCTCGCTCCGAGCTTCGACGAGTGTGCCCATTGCCTGCCGCAATCAGCATTTGAGGTTAGTGTCTTCATGCACCGCATACATACTGGGAACACACACACACACACTTATTAACACAAACACACACACACCCGCCTGGCAGAGTCGAGAATGTCGATGGTTTTCTGGCTGAACAAAGCTGTCCTCGGATTCCTCACGAGCTACCATCCAGCTGAGCTGCAAGCCCCCAAAAGAGATGTGACGCCTCCCTCTACATTCATATGTATGTACATGCATATGTACGTATGTATATGTATATGGGATCGATTAGCAGTATCGGGGAAATCAATGGCATCTCCGGAGGTGGCTCGTAAACTAATTCCAGCATCAACTTATTCAAAAGTACGCAAGTTGTGACTACCAGGGTTCTCATTACCTTGCGACTGTCTCTCTGACATACATACATATGTACATATGTATGTACTGCTACTTTGTATAAGTGAGCATCACCAGATGAATCGATCTAGTATGTACATATTTAATCTTCAGGATTTAAGCTGAAAATGGATTACTTAAAGGATTACTTAAAACTAATACAGTATTATTAGAGATAAAGCCAATACAGATTCAAACCAATTTAATTTATTTCAAAGCGATAAGGACCGGCTTTAAATCTCCTTGATGTAGGTTTCGTTAATCTTATAATATTCATATGTGATTCATACAAAACTACAGAAAGGATTGACAGGATCTAATAGAGAATTTAAAATACATAAATACATACTTATGAATATGTATTATAAGGCTTATTTATTTATTTGCATTGAGTAAACCTTAGTTTATGTAATGCATGTAATGTAGTAACTTGTACAATAGTGTTGGGAGGACTTCAATGGGAGTCACAAGTGGAGTTAAAGGATGTAAGTAAAGTGCAGGCAGGAAGTTTGAACGGTGTTAATAAAATCTTTGTCCTTGGAAGACCGTGGGATGAATTCCCTTACGCAGCACGATAAAAGTATTATTGCTGAAATATCTGACAGACGCCAGCTTATGGGAAAAAAGTTGTAAAGTAAAACTCTTTTAGAAAAATAAATATTGCTCGCAGGTCAAACAGGTGGAGAGAGGTTGCGAAAATCGAATGGAAATGAAATTAAACTAAAAATAAAAAAGATACACAACTAAAAATGTTTGCGCGTAAATCAAATTGACAAAATGCAAATGAGATCCGCCTGGCATGGACCGCGGGCGCTATTGTGGGGGGGGGAGAACACAAAACGACACTAATGAGCAGAGAAGCTCAAAGAAGAAGGCGCAAACTGAAAGCGAGACCAACAACAAAATTCGCCACAAATCATTTGCAATTTTTATTTGCTTTTTCGCTCTCCGATTTTTTTTCTTTCTTTTTTTTGCGAAATTCTCCCTGGGGCTAAATTCATTTATATTTTTGGTGTCTGTGGGAGTGAAATGACTACGAGAGGGGGGTGGGTGAGGTGGTGTATCCGAAAGAGTAGGGCATCTGTGTGAGTGCCCCAGGCTGAGTGTGTGCGTGTCCGTGCGTGTCTATGAATGTTGTGTGCGAATGTCAGGCCATAAGGGAATATGATGAATTATAAGCAAAAACGTTTTTTGTGCAAAAAACTAAAATCCACACAATGTTCCACGATAAAAAACCGAAATCACTTAATTGTCTGTGTGTCTGTGTGCCCTGTGTGGCTCTCTGTCGCAGCAGTCACTCCAGTTTTTTCGGCCTGTGTATCTAACAGATACATCTCCGACTCCTAATGCATGTGTAACGTGCTGGAATCCGTTCATCTGCCTCCGAGCCGTGGAGTGTGTTGTGTGTTGTCACACGACGAGCCCGCCATAGTCGGGCGTTAATTAAATGGACAGTTATGGCCAAAACACGAATTGAACACCGCCAGAGTACTTCGAGTACCCTTTTAAGACCGTCCCCCGGAGTTTTAGAGCCTTCTAAACGACCCAAGAGGAGGCAGAGAAAGCCAACAGAACGGGGATCTTATCTGAAATCCCCTATTAAAATATTTCGATGGGCTTCAAACGTACGAGCTACACAGAGATAACCCATGGCAGAAGCCATTTTTGCGAAACACTCTCTAAAAGCATATAAATAGAGGAACAATTTTTCATTTCGATGTTTTTGTGAGTCACTTTTTTTGCCTTCTTTTTATATTTGTGGCGCGAATTGTTTTTATTTACTTGTAACTCTCACATCTCTATGAATACCCGTCGTTGTAGTTTTAGCGCACGCTCTCTCCCTCTCTCAGTTTACCCCAAGTGCTCTCCCCATCGTTTGCCCTCTCTCTCTCTCTCTGTCTCTCTCCTTCTCTTTTTTTTCTCTTTATCTTTCTGTCCCGTTCCCCTTTATCCCCATTTATTGCCTCGCCCCGCTGGCAGAGCTTTTGTGCATTGAATTAGATAGCTACACAAATTACGCTAAAATGTTTTGGCGCTCATTTTTTGTGCTTTCTGGCGGAGCAACAAGCGCAAACAACTTTTGGCAATTTAAGTATTTTCTTCTTTTTCTCTGTGTGCTGCCTTAACCTTGAAGCTGGATTCTATGCGGTCGTTTTGCGTTCTTTCCACACTACTGAAACTCTTTCTGGGAGTTCTGGGTTTCAAGTCGCTTCCGTAGTCCCGATTCCGGGATGTGCCATTTGTTTTAGATTGGCAAAATTTAATAGTTATTGTCACCTAAATCGAGAATATACATACAAACATATACAAATCTCACAGAGCACATGGAGATCGGTTTAAACACTGAATAAACACTGTAAATACATAGTTTTCAGAAAGTAATTTTTAGAATGTGGTAAAAGAAATTTAGAAATAAAACACATGTGATTAGTCGTTACAAACTCGAGATCGAGATGCGGCCTCTCTGACGGATTAATGGGCATTGCCTCCAATCGAGGGCCGAGTTATCGTTGTTCTAGAAACCATAAAATCTATATATTCTCTATCTACTGCATCCTATAATTGTTAAAGACCGTTTAAATGTTATGCATTTGTATCAAAACACTGCTTAATTATAAACAAAAATACTGCCATGGTTCTAAATCCGCACGTTTCCAAAGAGAGATCGATTATCTCATATTAAATTAATTCAGGGATTGAAAAAGAAGAGTCCTACTTAGTTACCCCTATCTCCACTATTCCGAGTTTCTTTTGTTTGATTAACAGAAAATAGATTCGTATAAATTCTTATGAAAATAATACTGTTTTGAGGACGGCAGGGTGGCGTAACCCTCCAAGGAACTGAATAGATGGGCAGCAGACCCAAACGAGTGGCATCTCCGCTGGCAGAGTGCAGACTCCACCTACTTTACACCTGACGGCCCAGGCACACGGCCAGACACGAGCTGCACCAGAAGACGCCATACAAGTTACAAAGACACCAGATACTCGCACCGCACTTCAGATGCACAGAAACACATGGCCATCCACATGCACATATCCACGAGATACGAGCACGAAAACTGCAAGCTTCGCTAATGGAAGCGCGCAACGGCGTCATTGGCTGACTCGCAGCGGCCGCCATTCCAATAGAAATGGAAACTGAAATATCAAGCTCCGGCTTAAGTGGACCACGACTTGTGGGTGGCGCGGGGACTGGGTGGCTGGGTTGGGGGCTGGGTGCTAGGTGTTAGGGGCTGGGTGTTCGGTTGACAACTTTCACTGCCAGCGAAGCGTGAGCCAGAAATTGGCAACTCCAATTCGCTCTACGATAAGCCACCGAAAAGTGGAGCATATGCATGCTACATACATATACATACATTTGTGATGCGGATACTACATGAATGCTGCTAGCCGCAAAACGAGCTTCCTGCAATTGAATCATGCCAGCAAGTTCCCAAATTTCATTCGTATCAGTCAACTCTCTAAAAATCGAACTTTCATTTAAGAATTCAAGTGATCCAGCATGGGTAGGCATTTCTTCGCTACTACTACTCTACATTCCGGACCATTACTTCTTTTCTAGTTTGGTAGGATATGCCCCAAACTTATGTATATTTTGACCAGATATAAGTTCATTGTTAAGCAACACAGGATTTTATTATTTACATATGAACATTAGAGCACATTTAGAATAGGTGAAGAATTTAGATAATTCCCATATTAAACTAAATAATATAGTTCTGTTTTCAAAACGTCAAGACAAGTTCAAATAATTCAATATTATTAAGAGAGATTGCGCATTACGCATACTCCCACTGGGTGAGGAAAGAGCCTTGCTAAGATCGAAGACTAAAGATAGTGATACTCGAAATCGAAGTTCTAGGAGACCTGCATCGAAATCGAACGGATATATGTATTCATGGCAAGTTCTCTCGCTCTGCAAATTTCTTCATAAATAGCAACAGAAGATAAGCTAAGATAAGCTAAGATCGAAGACTAAAGATAGTGATACTCGAAATCGAAGTTCTAGGAGACCTGCATCGAAATCGAACGGATATATGTATTTATGGCAAGTGCTCTCGCTCTGCAAATTTCTTCATAAATAGCAACAGAAGATAGCGAATACTTTACTCTGCATTTGACACCAAGAGCACTTCCTCCCTGAATCCTCCGTTGTGGCATTCATTTCCGTTTGAAGGAAGCCTGGCTTCGCTCTTTTAAAATTTTGATGACAATATCAAATTTATTCTACAAATCCTTATCAAAATTGAGTGGTATTCCTTGTGCTTTGTGGCCCAAATATTGAATATAGCAATTCTTATGGACTCTCAATACGAACTACTGTTCCACACTCGGCACTTCGCTGGGATACTTTTCTGCTGCAGTGTGTATCTGAGACCCTGCCTTTGTCTGGGCATGTGGAAGCGGCTGTGGCGCACGCTCTCGGAGACCTTGATCCCGCATTAAACAGTTGGCACGTCGGCGTCATCGTCGTGGGACAACAAAAGAGCGAAGCACAGCGATAAAACCAAAACCGAACCCCAGAAACGAAAGGCAGGCAGGCAGGCATGCTACGAGTGAGTTGAGTCAGGCGGGCAGGGCGACGGCACAGTCGCTCTTGACAGCACAGGAGTACCATGTGGACAACCGCTTCGGGGGTCGGCAGGCGGAGGATGGGGAGCGGGAGCGGGAGCTCGCCTGCTTGGCATGCGGTGACGGTTTATGCGCCACTCCTCCCAATCAGCCGCTGATGATCTTCATTGTTTTAATTCGCTAGGCATCTCTGTTAATGGCTCTTCCATTTTCTTCGCCAGGCTTCGAGGTGAAGATCTGAATGCGTTTTGAAGTTTGTGCGATTCACAGGTGAGCCACTTGGCTTTCCGCAGGAATAGTGTGAGAAGCTGGTCTAAAAGATCCCATGCTCATCACAGCAATCGATTATGTCAAGCTTAGCTTGGCGTCTGCAACAACTTCTTTACCCATTAAAAAGGATTTTGTACAGATAAATAGTAAATCAATACTTTGCACATAGCTTCAAAAATACAAGTTAATTTTCCTGACATGACCTTTCCTCCTATATTCGCTAATTATCAATCTCCCCATTTCCCGTTGCAGTTGAACGAGAGGAAAAATCGCATCCCTTAAAATATCTTTGGAACCAATTTGGAATTAACCAAGAAGGCGGAGAGGTAAAATTTAATTTCATTACAAAATACTGGCGAAAAGATCAACGGCAAAAACAAGTTTATAAATAAGAAAATAAATGAGACACTTAAGAAGAAAGGAATTTTAAATTTGACCAACATGAAGAGAAACAAATGAAACAAACGACACTGAAAAAAGAAACAGCAGAGACAACAAGCAAGAGCACAGCTAAGGAAACCAAACCACTACTGCTAAAATGTGTTGTAATAATCAATAATAAAAGAAGAAATCAGAAAGAAACGAAAGCGATCACAAGGCTTTCCCTTCGAGATCAAATCACGGCTAGGCATCAGCACCTGCATCCCTAATCGAGCAACAGCTAGGACCTCCGGCCAGCCGATTCAATAGATAAGCAGTAGCGACGAGAATGGCCATCAACTTCTCGGCCTCGTTCGCGGCCTGCATAGCAGCCGGACTGAAGGTGCCCCGCCAGATCATGTACTGCATCACCCAGGACACGGGCCAGCCGTACGTGCTCTACAAGGACTCGCAGGACGCCGAGCGCAACCCGGCCGCCATTGGCACCAGTCCCGCCCAGTGGGGCAGCGACATGTACCCTAACATCCAGCAGCAGGCCCAACAGCACCTCACCGCCCAGCAGCAGCAGCAGCAGCAGAACGCGGCGCAGGCAGCTGCCCAGGCGGCAGCCGCAGCGGCGGCAGCGGGTCAGCCGCAGAGTCCGCCGGGTGGCGCCCAAGAGCCTCGCGACAACGGCAGCGGCGATGGCCGCCAGCAAAAGGTATCGCCTTCGTCCAGCCCATATCCCTCTGTGCAGCAGCAGCAGCAGCAGCAGCAACAGCAGCAACAGCAGCGGGCAAACGGTGGCCCCGACGAAGATGCCATGAACCAGGTGAGTCCTTGCGGCAAAAAGCTGGCCTGGGCCAAGTTTAATGCATGTCATCATCCATTTGCAGCTCGGAAACCAGCAGAACCCTGCGCCCAACCAGAACCAAAGCAGTACCGACCCCCAGCACTCGGGCTCCAATGCTGGGGAGCCCGGAAACCCACATGTGCAGCAAAACGGAGGCGGCGGCGGTCCTCAGGGCGATCCCGGGAACAGCTTCCAAACGCCCGATTACTATGCTCCCCGTCATGCAGCGCCGCAAGGAGCAATGCTGGCGCCACCCGGCTTTCCGCCACTTCATTATCTTAACAAGGGAGTGCTGCCCATGGAGCAGTCTGGTGGCGGCGGCGGTGGCGGGGGAGCCGGCGAGTCCTACTCGCTGCCCGAGCTCCTCCCGGGCCAGCAGAATGGCCAGCAGAGTGCCGGTCCGACGAATGCCAATGCCAATGAAGGCGCGGCGGCAGTCAACGGCGGAGGAGTGGGCGGTGCCCCCGGCGCGGGCGTAGGACCTGGCGGCGGCGTGCCGACTGGAGGGCGTACTGGCAACGGGCCGGGGCGTCCGCACAAGAACAAGCCGCACAGTGACCTGCGGCTGTTTAAGTGCCTCACCTGCGGCAAGGACTTCAAACAGAAAAGCACGCTGCTGCAGCACGACCGAATCCACACGGACGCTCGTCCGTTTCCCTGCTCTGAGTGCGGGAAGCGGTTCCGGCAGCAATCGCACCTCACGCAGCATCTGCGCATCCACGCCAACGAAAAGCCCTTCACCTGCCCCTACTGTTCGCGCAGCTTCCGGCAGCGCGCCATTCTCAACCAGCACATACGCATCCATTCGGGTGAGAAGCCCTTCGCCTGCCCAGAGTGCGGCAAGCACTTTCGCCAGAAGGCCATCCTCAATCAGCATGTGCGCACCCACCAAGGCGAGCGACAGATACAGATAACTCATTTCTTACGATGCAGATGCAGATACAGATTCGAACAGGCATTCAGAAAGGGCTAGTGCTAGGAAGACCCGACCCTGGTTGAGCGCAACCATAGCAAGTTCATAACTAACGCTCGGCTTGTCTGAGTCCTTTTTGGCAACTGAAATCCTTCCCTGCAAAATTTAACACTCTGCAAATCCATTGCCTTGTAGCTATTATCCAAAATTGTCCCCATAATTAAGTATTCCCCTTTTGGCCATTGGAATCGCTGAAGGCGAACTATATTATTGATAACATTGATTCGCCTAAGCAATACCAAAACCAAACCAAGCTAAAATCAAATAAGAAATGCATCCTATTTCGGCTAGCCGAAATTTGTATACCCTTGCAGTTAAAATATTAACAATGTGTGCGAGTATGTTAAAAAATATTATTTTCGAATTCAAATTCCGATCGCTTCTATGGCATCTACATGATGTAGACATCTGTTTAAAATGAAAATTGTAACGCTGAAATTTAATATCGGAGTAGATTTAATAATTTGTGTTAACTTTCCGCTTGTTCAAACGAAATTTATTTGCTGCAGTAAAACCATAAATATTTGTAAAGCTTTGGATAGCTCTAACCTTAAGAGACAGACAAGGCTAGATTGAGTCTGCTCGACTAAAATCATATTATTATCCTGCAAGAGTATAGAGTAAAGAGTCCCGTCCGTAGATTAGCAAGAGAGGCTAGGCAGTTCCTTCGAAGATTTGTATCTCGGCTGCGTGCCAAGTTTAAGCGCTGCTAACAGTGTCTCTCTATCGCTTGACTACTTCTATGATCAACTGGTGCGTCGGATGCGGATCAACACGTCCCCCACACAGACGTCTCCCCACACCTCATCTTTAAGAACGGGCCACACCCGACGCTGTGGCCCTCAGACGTTCCATTCCCGGGCGAAGAGAACGACACCAAGGGCGACATTGCCAGTTCCGGCGGTGGATACCACGACGAGGACTCTCAGGGTACACCGGACGGTAGCGGCGGCATGCACTACCCATCGTACTTCAAGGATGTTAAGGGTGAGTAGTCGAGGGGCGTGGGTTTTGGAGACGGCTACCTTCTAATCAGATCCACGCGCAGGCCAAAAGATACTGCCCGAGGTGCTGCAGCACATCGGTGTGCGGCCGGCGAACATGCCGCTATACGTGCGCTGTCCCATCTGCGACAAGGAGTTCAAGCAGAAGACGACTCTGCTACAGCACGGCTGCATCCACATCGAGTCGCGGCCGTACCCCTGTCCAGAGTGCGGCAAGCGCTTCCGCCAACAGTCGCACCTCACGCAGCATCTGCGCATCCACACCAACGAGAAGCCCTTCGGTTGCATGTACTGTCCGCGCTTTTTCCGCCAGCGGACCATCCTTAACCAGCACTTGCGCATTCATACTGGCGAGAAGCCGTACAAGTGCGCCCAGTGTGGCAAGGACTTCCGGCAAAAGGCCATTCTGGACCAGCACACTCGCACCCACCAGGTAGTTGTAGCCTAGCCACAGGCCCTTAAAAGCCTGTCATCGGCCCAGCGTCTTAACCCGAGCATTCTCGTTCTCTTCTTCTTTCCCTTTTCCTTTCAGGGGGATCGTCCATTCTGCTGCCCGATGCCCAACTGTCGCCGTCGCTTCGCCACGGAGAATGAGGTGACCAAGCACATCGACAACCATATGAACCCCAACACCACCAAGGTGCGTCGCCAGCAGCAGCAGCAGCAACAGCAACAGCAGCAACAGCATCAGCAGCAGCAGCAGCAGCAACAGCAGCAGCAGCAACAACAGCAACAGCAGCAGAACAACAACAACGCTGTTGCGCAAGTCGCCTCGGTGGCCAACCACTTGATGAACGACGTCAAGAGCTTGGCGGCCCAGCAATTCCTCAACAATAATAACCCGTCGTCGGCGGTAGATAACAAGGCAAACATACTGCCTGTGCGCAGCATAGCGGCCAACGCGGCAGCAGCCGCTGTGGTGCAGCAGTCTGTGGTGAAAAACGAGCTGTACTTCCCGCAGTGCTACGGGCCTCCGTTCCAGCATACCTTCCAGACACAGCAGCAGGCCCAGCAGCCCAGTGTCGCGCACGCCAATGGGGGCCCGACGCCGCCGGTGACCGTGACGGTGGCAAACCCTGTGGCCCCCGGCGTAGTGGTCCAGCAGAATGCGTCTGCCTCCGTGGTGGCCCAGTGACATCCCACCACTGGAGCAACTGGAGCACCACAGCAGCAGCAGCAGCAGTCGTCGGCAGCCCAACAGCAGCACCACTCGCACCCGCCTCCTCCACCAACAACGACTGCTCACCACATCGCGGCAACGGCGGCGGCTGTTACAGCGGCCACGCCCACCTCCGCACACGGCTCTCCAGTGGCAGCGCCGCAAACAGTAACGCTCTCGATCACGCTGCCCCCGCCGCCAACGTCGCACGCAGTTCATCCGGGTCATCCAGGCCACCCCGGCGTGGCCAACGGAGCAGCGCCTCCCCGCCACCGCCGACTCTGTCGCACGCAATACCCATACATCCACACATACACTCGATATTCGGATCTCTATGATGTCATCAGTGAGGAGACAGTTAGACCAGGAGCAGTAGCCCCAGGAGGAAATCAAAATTGAGGAACACACACTATTCACAAAATATCCGATAGGTTCGATAAGTTTATTTATTAGTATTAGACGCATACAAATTCTCCTAGTTTTTAAAACGGATCTTTAAATTAAACCACAAAACACAGTTTTGTACTGGCAGACGACGAACCAACTGAGAACAAAGCTGGACAGAGGAGACGCGAACGAACACGTGAACACAGGACGAGTACTAGTCTTTTTGAAAAGGACTCTAAACTCCTTTGACACAACCCATACACATGAAATGCGAATGGTCGATGTTTTACAAAGAAGGGATAAATCGGAAATGAAGGAGAAACGAGAGCCAAAACACAACGTTATACGATTCCTTTTTGACATAATATTTTTTAAGGACCCCTCCCACTATCCCCCTACACATTTAAAAGACTACAGAGATACTTCAGATCTTTATATGTATGTGCACACGGTCACACAAAAGAAAGTAAGTACATATGAGCCCGCAGAGTTCGTCAAGCTGGATTTTTGATACCACCCACAAGAGTTATACGATTAGGCGTAAAGTTAGGATGGCTCAGACATTAGGAGTGTGAAGTGATAGTTAGGGCAGCTAGACACTTGTTGGGAGGAAGTGTGGATGTTGGAGGAGGAGGAATAGAATGAATGGTGGAGGAGATGATGGCGTCGAGCGAGTTTTTGTTTTGTTTTTATTATGACAGGCAGCAGCTAAGTTTTAGTTCAGTTCTTCGATATGTTAATGAATTCGAATTTTTGTTGACGAATGCGACGATTCACGGACGTCCGTAAATCAGTCTACAGGGGCCACACAAATATGAATTCGATATTTCTCTTTTATTTTGATTGAAGCATACAAATGTGATTTCTTAAAGTGTAATATATATTACTGAATGCAATTTAAAAATACTAAATACCCATAATTAGTTACGAGTCCCTAAGTAATGCGAACTAGGATTCATTTGTTGTCTTCCCCAACTAATCATGTGTAATTTATGTTGAGTTTTTATTTAGTAATTAGAGATGCACACGTTTAATCCGGACAAATCCATACAAAGCACACAGGCACAATCAGCAGACAAAGCAAAAGGACATACATAGGCAGGATCAGTATACATACATACATGCAGACGTGTTTATAAAGCAGGCAATGTGACTCTCAAGGTGCCATACAATCGAACAATAGTCAAAAAGGTAATAGATCAACCCTCCCCCTTAATGCTCTCAATTTACACTGAACCCGAATCGAATCTGAATCGAAACAGACAAAGCACTATTTGACCACCCACCCACCTCCTGCGTTTTCTTCCCTACCAATTCAGTGTGGATATAACCGAAAACTTAGTTTCTTATACAATTTTCCAATGTACCGTCAAAGCATTTATGATTGTTATTAATATTATAGCATATGTACCCTACATATTTATGTATACAAATTACATATATTTTATGTATTGTAAAGAAAGATCGTGGCAGAGCGAGGATTTACTTTTAGACGTTTAGACGTTTCACTTTATCAAGTATCTACTCATTATTTAATACACTTAGTATGTAGCCAATTATCTAAGTTTCTATTGAAATCAAAGCAAGTGCTCGCAATACGATTTTGTGTTTACCGTTTTAAACCTACAGTTTATCAATTATGTTTGGATATATTATTTAATTACTTCAATAAAACAATGATTTATCTGACTTTCAGTTAACGTTATGTTTTTAGTTGCTTTCAGTCTTACCCCTTCCCCAGCCAGTCTATCCCCGCACACGGGACAACCTGAACATTTTGGCATTACACAAACAAACAACAAATGGACTACTTAGGCTGGGCAGCGTCTTTTGATTTTGTGATACGAATGGGGCTCAATTATAGGAAATGTTTGGCAACCACGGCTTAATCAAAATTGTACATAGCAAGTTTTGGCATAACATGAATGTAAATTTCGCAGCAAAAGTTTTATAACTAGTTTGAACAAATTGTTTGGCATTGTAAAATATGTATTAACTACTACGGTTACGATAAAGTTAGTCAAAATTTTAAAAACACCCTTTAGGCACATTGAAAAATCCAAATCTAAATCAAAATTTATAAAGAAACACAAAAGTTAAACACCAAAAAAAAAAAGAAAAAATTGCATGTTTTGGCACAAAGGCAACCAACATCCAAAATATTGTAACCCATGGTGGCTTTTATTGGAATTAGATTAAGGTACTTGATCTGCATGATCGAAATGATCAGCATGATTTGCTATATGTAACCCAAGTTTAACACTAAGCTGTAGCAAACTTTTAGGCCTTGTAGACCAAATTTTAACAGTTCTTTTTGGCTATAATCAATCGAAAATCGAAAAGAGAAACGACGAACATACATACACGAACCTTTTGGCTTTAAATCAAAATTATGTTTAGTTTAGTTAAACGAGGTAATGGAAATATTTACCAGAATGATGATATCAAAGTAAATTATGGCAAATTATGCTATAATTCCAATAAAAGCAAACTTTAGACTGAATGTCGCTGTGATAAATGCAAATTAAAAACAAAACAATTAAAACGTAAAACTTTTGTACATTTTAGGCATTAACACAAAACCAAAATTTAAAGCATACACCTAATCAAAAACAAAAACATAAATTTAGGCGCAACAAAATCTAGCATAAAGACAAAGTCTAAAACAAAATTTTAAACGCTCCAAAAACATTTTGCAGACTGACCCGGAGATCTTTAATTCTCCTATAATGTTCTGTAAATGATTATAATTTCCACTTTATGTTTCACCATTAGGATTGGTTTATTCTTTTAACTTTTCCATTTTCTTAAATATTTTTTTTATGTTTATTGATTAACTGTTTTTCAAATTGTTTGTAAAAAAGTTCACAGCAAGGATAAGTTAGAAGAAAGCTGAAAATGGTGTATACCAGCTGCTACTGTGGAACTACATATGTAGCTCTTTGAGTTTCGCCTCAGAGCTCAAGACCACGTCGGCCGAGACAAACCAACAATGTATATCGGATATGTAACCAGTCATGAATCGGGGGAAGTCCCTGAAGTGACAGAAAGCCTAGACCGAAAAAGGGGCTATTACTTGACAGAACCGAACAGACCAGACCGTAACCGAATCGTACGATAGGGAACCACGAAAATAGTCGTGGTAGATATATACATAAATAGCAACAGATACAGACAGCAGAAATCGAAAGCTGCTGAGGAAATAAATAAAACACAAAGTTACCAGCATACCTAACAACCAACAATAGCCCAATTAAATAACCAAGAGTACAAATACAAGTAATTTTTATAGCAGAAATTTTAATTGCAGTATCAAAAGCCCTAATAAGTAAACATAAGTAACACATAACTACTATAACTCAACCACAAGAAACACAAACAGCAAAAGGCATGGCATATTCAGTCCTTGGCACTTCAAAATCAACATGCAAAAGTCAAATGTGAGAAAAGTGAACAGATCTCGACAATGTTTTTGGTGAGAAATCTTGAGACCCTGCACGACGAAAAACGATAGTAAAGACCCAAAGTAAGATCCTTTCTTCTTAAAATTAATAAAAGAAATGCTAAAGATGAAATTATAATAATTATCATAATAGTAAACGTAACAAATTGACACTTTTCCGGCGTTAAATTCACACTCAGAAACAATTAAGGCCCAGATACAACCCAAATTGACAGGAAATGCCTACAACAAACATCAAACCACAATGAAGTAATTTCGAAGCAGAAAGGTGAGGAATGGATGGAAGAGTAATCCGCGGGTCTCTCGACCATCCATTCCACAATTTCCAGAAGCGAATGCATTATAATTGAGTACAGCCGCTTTCTGCAATAGTGATAATAGTTTTTAAGTCAACCACCAAGCATCAAAGCAAACCACTAACAAACTAAATAAATAACTCAAGAGAATCAACAAGCAAAATGAAAGTGTTTAAAACATAGATAAATAGCCACTTAAAAAATGGTGAACAGCAATTAAAGCAAACCACAGAAATAATAATAATAATTATAATAATACAATTCAGAGTAAAAGTGAGAAATATAATACTTTTAATGATATATGAAAGCCCAATCACCAGCTTCTTGATTAATTTGATTGAAAATTGTGAGTAGCACACAACTTAATTGACGTATCTCAAGGTCCGATAATATGTTTGTTTAAATTTTCAAGTATTAAAAAGGGAAGCGATTACCAAAGGATGAAAGCAAATATTGTCTTTTCAAATGATGTCTGAAAAAAGAATAAATAAAAAATAAACCATAACGCGAATGAAGAATTAAGATGTAAACATTGAAAAAGCAAACCAAAGTAGCATACAGTGCATATGAAAAACCCTAAACTCTTAAATTATATGTATGGTGTATTATATTTTGTAACGTATTTAACAAATACTCCCTATATATACGATATATCTACTTATATTTGAAGTAACCCAAAAAGTTTGTGAGCGCAGTCAGATGAAATATAGGAGGAATTTCAGACTTTTCGTTGAACTGAACAGTCTAGAAATGGATTCACGATTAAGAAACTCAAGCGTAACCTGAGGAATCCGAAAACGATAGCCTCGTTAGTTTTTACCAAGCTGATACAGCGATATTAATGAAATATCTCTATTGAAATTATTACAAAAAGTCGAACCACGTAGGCATAGGTTCTGTTCTGTTCCCGTTTATCTCACTTTTAAAATGTGTATTTGTTTTGATTTCCAAATGATTAACAAGTCCCAGAGTATTTGCAGTATAAACAATGTGAATCACCTCATTTTCTCTCAATATCTGGTTCGTAAAAGAGAAGCTAAATTCTGATTTGATTATATTTTAATATATTACACTATGTATATTATATATTAATATATTTTCAGATTACAATTAAATTAAACGAATTTAAATGGGGTCCCGACCTTGATCTATGCCTATTACAAGAGTTCGCCTTATGCAATACACACAATGTGCCCATAGAACAAGTAATTTATAACAGACACAAATCAAATGAATTATTTATAATATATACGAATTGTTGTTTTTGCAACATGAACAAACTACAAACAAAATGAAATAGTACCGAAATATTTTACAGATCTTTTTACAAGCAACCGACAAACAAGATATAAATGCAGCTAAAAAGCTAATCCATAGATACGCAATTCAAGTGGCAGCAAACCATAGAAACAGTACTTAAATAAATCAATCAGACAGCATACACTGAAAAAAATGCAAAAAAATAGTAAAAGTCGACATGGATCGACGGAAAAGCCGAAAAATAAACCAAAACTGAGAAAATATAGGAACATTACTTAACGGACATAAAGCTATATTCGATTAAGTGTTAAGTGAAGTATGCGATTGCAAACAAATATTTTTAAAACTTGCGCTTGCCGACGTGTAAAGCAAATACTTAAACGAGGAGATCATCAGATAAAAATAATTTACGATAAGTTCAATAACCCGAAGGACACAATAGATTAGATGAGAGAACGAACCGTATGCAATTTGTTGTTATGTTGACATTCCTTTGATAAAATGTGCGTTTGTAATTATTATGAACAATTGACAGGGACTACCATTTAATAACTACATACCATAGAAATAATAACTGAGCAGAGGCAATAGAAACAAATTTTATTTATGGAACAATCGACGTCGGCTCCGACAGTGAACGTGCACTTATTATTAAATGTAACTCAACTCTAACTGTACATAGGCAACCACAAACTGCAACTGCAAATGCAATAGTACCAAAGTAAGTAAATCAATTATTTCACTCAATTTAATAACGAATGCGTAGTGCTACGACAGATACATACATAGATGAGCAGAAGCATTCAAACGGAACGCAGACTTGAAAGATAGAATCGATTTTAAAGAGTTTTTGCTTTGAGTTAATCAGCTGAACGCAACATATCCACATCGAAGTATGAGAACCGCTCTTATAGCCAATTATATTACTTTTCTACATACCATACCATACCATAAGCAACCATTTTCGATTTATTTGGATCAAAAAGTGAAATCTTTAGTTTTTTTTTAAGCAGAAGATGAAGCCACATCAAATCAAACCAAATAGAATCAAACAATGACAAGCAATAGTGATACTATACTGCCAGGATCAGGAACAGGACCCTGACCCTGACCCTGAGCCAGCCAATAGCCTGATACAACTAAACCACAATAAACCAAAAATCTATTAATTTACAAGATATACAACAAATGCAACGGATACCGCAGCAGCAACCATAGTACAATAACACTTTTTTCTTATTGAACGTCTTTTGTGCAACAGATCACATGAAAACCCAATTACGCAAACGGAGACGGAGACAGAGACAGATAGACAGAGAGACAGAGAGGAGGATATAATGATTAATTAAACGCAAGTTGAACCAAATCAAAAGATGATTAACTGAATAATAACGAGAGGCGATTTTAAGTATACAACAGAGACAAACCGAGATCAAGCCAACTACCTATATACATATATTTTTTAAAGAGGCAAACGCCATACCAAAGGCAGAACTAACAATAGCTACAAATTGTTAAACATCTTGATATTTGAATTTGTATAATTTTCAGTCGATTGAATGTAAAATAGTATATATATACAACATACATATGTGTGAAAACAAAAATAACAAAAACAACGCAGCGAAAATCAAAGCAAAAACTCAAAATGGAAAGGAAAACTTTTTTATATTACAAGAGACAAAAACACCGATTAACAAACATGAAATAAAAACATCTCACTTTCCTGGTAAAAATTGAATCAATTGGTACAACGTGAGCGATTAAGATTATAAAGCAAAACAATAAAACTGGCTACCCAACGTTAAGAAAGAGACACGGTATTCCAATTAAGTTCTTACATTGTTCTAACTTTTCCTATCTAAACCAATCCTTAGTTGTTTTTCAAAAAATCGAATTTGGTTTTACACTAAACAACTACCATCTCCGAAAGAGGCAACAATTAACTAAGAATACATCAACACTGGCATGCAAGTTTCGTGAACCAAGTTTAAAAATATTTGTCTTTAACGAGAACCCTTTATTACATATAACAACCTTAGTTTCGGCTGAATCAAAAAAGGTTTACAATACCATACACCTTTTTGGACACGGTAAACAACTTTTCTCTAAACTACCCACAAATCATATTTACATTATTATCTAGAGGGCAAACTTTCAAGAGAACATTGAATATGTTATGAGAGATATGTTTGGTGACTAAAACTCGCACGTAAGCGAATGGAAATAAGTTTAGATATCAAAATCTAAATAAGAAATGGTGGCTTGTCCAATGGCAATGAAAGCAAAAATAAAATACAAGAAATGCAAAATAATACAAATTAATAAGAATACCTTCTCGGCCAATTCGAAACCAAAACAAAAGCGAAAACAAATTAAAAAGATCTCGGCTAAAACAAATACTCTCGGCCATATCAAAATTGATTGCATAAACAGGGAACACTCGAGTCACGGCACTATTCAAAGGCAAATCACATTTAATTACATTTTTCGGAGCAACCAAAAAATAAAGTTTTATTTAAATTTAAGCCAATTGTATAAGCATCATTTTTTACATACAAATTAAGTAATACTAAAATACATACTTTAGGTATTAAAAGTAAGAGGAAATTAAATAAAACACGAAAGAGTCCCAGTAAAAGATAAAAAATCGAAATATGAATGCAATGAGACAGTTGAAGCGGAAAAGCGATATAAAAGTATTCAAAAAAACCAATTCACTCTTAAGAAAAAATTACCAAACCCAAAAACAAGCAAAAATTCAAAATTGTAATTGTTGTAAGCAATATATATATACAAACATACATACATATATCCAGAACATTTATTACACAACCGAAGCTAAATGTAAGCGACTCCCCCCAATTACACGTACACTACACTCATAAAAACACCGCAAAACCGATTAAAAAATAAAAATCAACCACCAAAGTACACACAAACCTACACCACCACACGCTCAGCCCGACACACCTTCCATTGGTTTAGATTTTAAGCATAATTTTTAATATAATCGTCAGCCTGAAAAGGGGAAAATATAAGAAGGTACAGAAAGCAACCTATCATGGCAGTCCAAAATTATTCAAAATAAAAAAGTGTTTAAGGCATACTTATATTACCGAATCAAAAATAACGTACTTAAGCGAGTATACATACATATGCAATACGTTGCGTCGTCTAGTTTAATGTCGTAAAATTTTACTTTTTGTAATACTTAATTAATATTAAAATATGTATTCTATGACAAGGCAAAAGTCAAGGGTAAAAGCTAATGTATTGTAAACGTCTTTCGACTTACTAATTTTCAAAATGAAAACCGAAATCAAGCCAAAAAAAAAGAAAACAAAAAAAATAGCTCTCAAAAGAAAATGAAAAGAAAAGAAAATGCTAATGTCACGGCATGTGCACCCAAAAAAATTAAAACCCAATGATTTTCTGGCATCTAAAATATAGAAATACTTAAAATACGAACCTATATTATTACACAAGAAAATGATTTGAAATAAATTGAATCTTGTAATATAGACGTTTATTCTGTAGTCTTTAAATCGGGCAACAACACCCGCACCGAAGGATTTGTTACCGGGCCGGATTCTAGCACGTCAAGTCGAACTTAACGACGCCATCGTAGTCTGTCCCATACTCGTAGATTGGCTTGCTCTCCCATGCACGGCTGAAGGAGGCGGAATAGGTAGTCTGCATGTTCTTGAGCTCATCCAGGAGCTTCTCGCACTTGAAGCGCCAGAGATAATTGTGGGTTTTCGTAAGATTCCCGAAGGCACTCAGCCTGTCGACCTCCGCCGCTTGCTTTGGAGGACCACACTTGCCGTCCTCCCCCTTCGCGAGCAAAAGACTCTGTCGCGGTAACTCCTCGAAGTCCAGGGTGTGGGTCGTGGTAAAGTTCCGTTTTAGTGACTCATGGTCCACTAGCTTCAGGCCTGACCGCCCGTTTCTTAAGTAGTTCTGGTAGGCCAACTTGCGCTGCTCAAGGAAAAAGGGCACGGTATCGACGCAAACGAAGGGCGCATCCGTGTAGGTATCCTGGCTGAGTGACAGATGGCTTTCACAGCCTTCCACCCGAATCCCTGGCAGAATGGCGTTGCTTTGCTCCTCGACTGCAAAACGGCGCTCTGCCCAGTTGCCAATGAGCACCGCCGTGCCATATGGAGTGAAAGCCATGTCGTCCGTCAGCGATTTTGTACTTGTAAATTCCATGCCGCCACAAGAGAAAAAAAAAAAACAAACGAAAATTTGCAATATTGTTTAAATGTGTCGCCTAATACAAAATGACAACGTAATCCCAAAGCTTGCCGTGGTCAAGTCAAGAAAAAGCACCAGCTCCCTTTACAAGTTTTGTAAAGCTATTCGTATGGATTCACCTCTTCCAGCTTGTGTTTTCTCTGTATAAATTGGAAATTCGTTTTGGAAAACGAAGAAAAACTTTCAAGGTATTATATGTAATTTTAGCCATACTTTACTTTGATCTACTGTGTGTTTCCATTCTCCTACGATAGCTGATACAAAAACTTTATAGGTGTCGTATAATTTTGAACAGGAGTGTATAAAATGTGAAATTAATATAAATTCGAACGGAATTACTATTTATTGAAGTATTCGCCGCTATGAATGTCAACGTCATTCAATTTAAAACAAACAAGAAAGGAAGCTAACTTCGGCACGCCGAAGTTTATATACCCTTGCAGATAGAACTTCTATGAATAAAAAACCATACAATACAAATTTTATATCTTTGTGTTAAAAAACAATGAAGTAATACCTGCTTTCATTTCATTCACCCATACATATTATATTTGCAGTTTTACATTCACTGATTTGCATTTTTCCTCCACATCAAACGATCGTTTGTATGGCATCTATATGATATAGTGGTCCGATTTTCATGAAATTTACCACAAAATTTAAGACTTAAATTAAATGCCTATACCTAAAATTTGATGAAAATCAGTTGAAAACTGAGAAGGTTATAAATTTAATTGTATTAATTTCTCGATCGTTCCTATGGGAGCTATATGATATAGTAGTCCGATTTTCATAAAATTGTTTGCAAAATTGTAGAGTATAGTAAAATGGCTATATCTCAAATTTGATCCAATTCTATTGAAAACTGAAAAAGTTAAAAAAATTTTTGTAAAAATTTTCCGATCATTCCTATGGCAGCTATATGATATAGTCGTCCGATCCGGCCCGTTCCGACATATATATGAGTGAGAGTATATAGAAGGCTAACTACAAAGTTTCATTCAGATAGCTTCAAAACTGAGAGACTAGTTTGCGTAGAAACGGACAGACGGACAGAAGGACAGACGGACAGACGGACATGGCTAGATCGACTCGGCTGTTGATCCTGATCAAGAATATATATACTTTATATAGTCGGAGGTGCCTCCTTCACTGCGTTGCAAACTTCTGACTGAAATTATAATACCCTGCAAGGGTATAAAAATCTGTGGTAATCTGTGTCGTTTACAGATTATTTATGTTATGATATTTATGATATGCTTAAATAAAAACGAGATAATAAAACTTAGTCATGTAAAATTACCATGAAATATAGAAGATTTTTGTTTTAAAATTTCGATTGTTTCCAATTGGTGGAGCTTACCAAAAGAATATGAACTATAAGAAAGTGCAAAAAGTTTCTTAAAGTAACTTTACTGGGTAAAGTGCTCAGCACTGTTGGGTTAATTTATTTTAATTCGTTTGCCCTAAGGTTGGGAAGACTATTCCATAGAGATCTATCTGTTGAACGGGTGGTTCATAATATTTTGCGCTCCGAAGTTTCATTTTGATCTCCATCCGAATTAGATGTTGTTTTGACGATAGTTAGGCGATAGTTCTTCCAAGCAACTCTGAATTTTTTTTCTTTTCGGTGAAATAGTAAACACAGATGGCCAGGAATAAGTGAGATATGGACGGCGGCAAAGTTTGGCAGAGAGACTAGTCGGCGTTTTCCGGTATATTCCAGCTCCAAATTGATTCAACCTGCTACTCCTGTTTCTGTTTTATTTTGAAGAGAGTTTGTGGGCTTATGCCACAATGCACACTTTTCGGGGCATTTGCTCTTTGTTAGAGATCATTTGAGAAAATCCAAATTCTTGTTATCAATTCGTTTTAATATAGTCCCAAAACAATTTTAACAAGCTTTGTTTGTACATTGGATGAGCCACAGCTATTCGATCAGCCGTTTTTGGATGGAGAATGGAAGGAAGCGAGCAATTAACAGCTCCATCCTAGCTTTTAATACATGAAAAAAACTACTCGAGCGACTCGGACTTTGGAAAATTATAAGCACCATCTGATATATTTTGTAATGTCTGTAAAATCCACATAAAGGTTTTTGAAAATATTTTCAAAAATAATAATCAACTTAATATTAGAAAATTTATTGTGGAACAATGTATAAGTGCACAAATGAAAGTATTGATTACTCATAATGGTTTGATATAAATAATGAATGTTTACTTTCTAAGCATTGCAAATGGACTGTAATAAGCTGATAGGCAGAAGAGGCAAGCTAAGCTCAGTATTTACGATTTTGATAATGATTAAACAATGAATGTGGACTAGGCCTATTGGAGATACCACAATAAATGAAACGTTTGATCTAATAATTTATCAATTGAAAAATACAAAAAGACCTACAGTGGATCGCAGCTTATTTCGTGCAGTCGCAAACTAAAAGTTTAAACCTCCACTGCTTCTAAACTATCAAAGATATTTCAAAAATTTAAACGCAATTGTATAAGTTCGAAAGTTATGAAATTCAAACAACAAAAAAATGACAGATTTAGAAATAGTACCCACCAACAAGGTGTCTGACATATAAATTCAAATTAGTTTTTGCATCAATACTTCTTACATTTACAAAATGTTTAATTTGGATCACTTTGAGTTTCGGATTTGAAAAACTCTCAAAATTGTTTGGAGAGAAATATTGATATATTTTACTTTCACAAAAATTTACCATAGCAAAATTACCACAGTTGCTTGAACAGCCTAGAATCAAGGATCTCCTCTCAATTATATTACTGTTGGGCGACCACGGAGCAAACCGGAACTATACACCAACTGTAATAGTTTGAAATTATTAAGAAATGTTTAATTTGTATCAATCCGATTTTGAGCCTCGGAAAACTCTGAAGAAAAGGATAGAGGCTTGCAGAGAAAAATTTATGCATTGCATTCTTTTAGGAGTATATATCCCGGGTCCCCAGGATCTTTAATTTTAAATTTATTTCGTACCTAAGGCACTACTATTCAAATAAAATAATGTTTTCAAATGCTAAAAAATGAATTTACAATTGTTTTTTACTGGCTTTGAAGGTATTTGACATTTTGATATACATTAAAAAAACCTGCGACAAATCATTCGGCCCAAAATATTGCTGAAACTTTGAAAGGTGTATTGGAGCAATTCAATGTTTTGGACAAAACCGTGTGTATTGTAACTGACAACGCAAACTCAATGCTAAAAGCATGTGTTTATAAATGCAGTGGACTGTATTGTTTTTGTCTTAGGTGTTTTATGTTTATTAATTCATGTAGCGTCTTAGAATAAGTTTTATAAGCGGGTGCGATAAGCTACAACTGGCGAAAATATAGAAACGTGCAGAAGAAAAATAAAGATCGCGTGATGTCCCAATACTCATTCACATATACTGCATTTTCGCTATGAGTGTTAGCTTAAAGCTTTATGTTGTTAACAAGACAATTATGTTCATTAAACTAGGTACGATAATATGCAAAATAATAACAAGTAAAGAATTAATAATTAACGACCGATTAATTCCTCAACAGCATGTGAGATTTTAAAAATTCGTAATTTGCCATGTTTCGCTCACAGCTTGAATCTTGTTGTCCAAGACGGCTTAAAAATTGAGAACAGCAATTTGAGTTTGAAAAACTTATTTGCGAAATGTAAGACCACCGTCAAATTTTTTAAGCAAAGCACTATTGCATACGCAAAATAAAAAAAAAAAATCCAAAACACCTTGTTACAGGAAATGCCAACTAGGTGGAACAGCTTTTACTTTATGATTGAGCGAATAATTAAAACAAACAAAGCGATTTCAAAAGTTTTATTAGATACAGCAAATGCACCTCTGCCATTTACTGCCAATGAAATTATTATTTTAGAGGACATATGCAACATATTGGCACTATTTCAAAATGCGACAGAGGAAATTTCCGGTTCACGGTTTCTCTAATAATACCAATGGTTTACGGATTGTACCGCAAAGTTGACCAACTAACACCATCGTTGAATACGACGGAAGGGAAAATGATGCAAGAATGTTTGTTGGAGTGTTACCAGAATTGGAACTATTTTGAATCCGAGATTAAAAAAATCGGGTTCCGCAATGATTACAACGCTGAGCAAGCATCCGTTCTTTTAGAAAGTGAGCATGAAACCCATTGTGGAATTAGAAGCTACAACTTCAAAAGAAAAAAAATTAATTTTTGATTTTGTTGAAATGAAAGCAAATGAAAAAACAACCACCAGAGGTATAGCATCCCAGGATACAGATCCTCTGATTTCATCTTCACAGATTTGATTTGATCTTCATCGTTAGTGGTAGTGCTCGGCCGTTTTATTCTTTTTCCGGACAGATCTGTCCGGTTTTTAACTGCGTCAGCCGGAAAAAATTTAAAACATCCCCTTTTTGGCGCCAAAGATTTGAGGCTGCATAGGACCAAGTGCACCAACATAATTAAAAACGTGCTAGCAGTCCACTTCAATGAGGACCTAAGAAATGACATTGGAGACGAAAAATACAGCCTGCTTGTTGATGAATCGACTGATATAAGCACCACTAAAGTTCTCGGTAAGATGCAATTCGATATTTATATAATTAAACCAAAGTAATTTATTTAAATATATTTAGGTGTTGCTATAATTTTCTACAGCGCAAAGCGATTGGACATCACTTCGACATTTTTGTCCTTAATTTCAATTGAAAGTGGAGACGCGGAAAGCCTTACAAATAGCCTACTGGAAAAATTAAAAATCCTCCAACTTCCCATTGGCAATTTAATTGGAATTGGCACTGATAATGTCAATGTAATAGTGGGTAATAAGAAAAGTTTGAGTGAAAAATTGAAGAAGTCGGTGCCGTCATTAGTTTTAATTAAGTGTGTATGCCACTCCGTGCAATTGGCCGTAAATGCTGGTTGTAAGCAGGCTTTGCCACAATCACTGGAATTCATAGTGAGAGAAACATACGCATACGCATGCAAAAGATCTTGTAGGCAAATTGCTTACCGCAAGTTGAACCAAGCCATAAATAATGATGAGGTATAGTGAACGCTAAAATTTGAATATATACATATGTGTATGTGTTTTAACATTTTTAATATATTAATTACAGGTTATCAAAC